AAGAGAGAGACACAGCGAGAGAGGGAACACAAGCAGGGGGAGTGGGAGAGGGAGAAGCAGGCTCCCCGCAGAGCAGGGAACCCGATGCGGGACTCAATCCCAGGACCCTGGGATCATGACCTGAGCTGAAGGCAGTCGCTTAACCAACTGAGCCACCCAGGCGCCCTCAAATAAATAAAATCTTAAAAAAAAAAATAGGTCAAAGAGAGACCGCTTTATAATTTAATTTATAGGATCTTGGTATGTTTTTCATTTCATCAATCTATCCTTTGAATCCTTAAAAAGTATTTTAAAGTTTTCCCTGTATAGGTTTTACATATTTCTTCTTAAATTTAGTCCTTGGTTGGGACACCTGGGTGGCTCAGTTAAGCATCTGCCTTCGGCTCAGGTCATGATGCTGGGATCAAGCCCCACATCGGGCTCCCCTACTTCTCCCTCTGCCTGCCACTCCCCCTGCTTTTGTGCACACACATGCACTCTGACAAACAAATAAACTTTTTTTTTTTTTTTTTACAAATAAGCATCTTTTAAAATAAAATTTATTCATTGGCATTTTGCCTTTTTATTACTATCGTAAATTAGCTCCTTCCCTCCACTATACCTTCAAACGGACTGTGTTTTCACGTGAATGCTACTGATTTCAGTACATTAATTTTATATCCTGCTCCCTTAATGAACTCTCACTGTCTAGTTTTCAGTCGATTCTCCTAGATTTTGTACTTTTATCATCTCTTCCTTTCTAATTCATAAACCTCTATTTCTTTATCTGTTCCCATCCTCTTATCTTCTGATAGTCTAAATAACTTTTTTCTGATGTGCCTTCTATTTATACCTATGTTTTACTTTATGATTCAATCGGATCATTTTTTTCTTACAATAGGTGAGTTTAGCCCATTCACATTTATTGATACAACATGTCAGATATATCAGACACATGTGCAGATTTCATATCATCCTGAGTCGTGTCTACTACTTATACATCATAAAAATCTTCCACTACGTAGTCTTCCTTTGATCTTTTTGATTGTTATAGTTCTCCTGGAATTTAACTATGTATTTTTGTTCTAGAAGTTAATAACTTCACACTTACACCTTTGTATGATATTCTCAGTCTCCTCTTTTTTCAGGAATTCTATTCAGTTCCCTTACAAAAACATTAAATTTAACTTACAAACTTTGCTTTCCATTTCTCTACTCCATGATCCAATTTTGGTCAATCAAGTTTACTCTGGTACTTTTAAATATGTTTAAGCTTCTACCACTTATTTGTCATTATGACTTTTTTTACTCTTCATCTGACCTGCTTTCCTCTAGCTCCCACCCACGTGCCTTCACAACACATGAGGCCAAAGGCCAAGGTCACTTGAATACGACATGCATCCTATGTCTACCAAAGGGTTACCTTTGATGCCGGGTAAGTCAATGCTGGCATGCTCATGGATTCCAATTCCGTTCCGGATGATCCTCAAGGAACCTTCCTTGAAAGCCCCAGAGCAAGTAACCAGCTGCAAGCAGAGAAAAGCTTTCTAAATACCTCCCTCCAGAGCCTGAGGCCATCATACCAACGCCCAGAAAATAAACAAGCTATACCTAATCCCAAGGACCCTTTCAGTGGAGCTAGGTTTGAGGAAGCTCACTTAACAGAGGCTGCTTTCCAAGCCCCCAAGTTTACCAAGCGGACAGGACGTTCGAGTCCAAGAAGCAGAAAGCAACTACCACTGCTCCTAGCAAGCTGGCTTCCATCCATAGAACCTAGTTTACTAGAAAGAGCACAGGATCTAGAGTCAGACACACCTGCGACTTGGAGGTTATGTGACCTTGGACAAGTTACTTGATCCTTCCCAGTCCCAAGCCTCCTCACTTCTGAAATGGTCAAGAATTCCTATCTAATTAGGGTGCTCATGTGACCACAGATGATGTAGATCTGTATCACAGACCAAGCGATACACTCGATAAATGGTAGTTATCCTTGCATTATTGGGATTAGTGAGTGATCCTAAAAGTTAACTTCAGTGGGCACTCCACACTCCAAACAGGCAAGTCTAGGAGGACACGGTTTGAGTGGGCAGGCGTATCAGCTATTCATTTCTGGGATGACCCCCTTACCTGTCCCTGCCCCTGCCTCTCCAGGTCCACTACGCACATGTCCACGATGGGTCCTAAATTGGTAAATGTTTCCATGGCCACTACATAGGAGCCTTGTTCATTGCTGTCAACATTGAGCTAAGAAGAAAAACAGAGTTAGTCCTGGAATGCTCTTAAGAGATTCACCCTAGAGAGATGGTTATCATCCAAAAGAAACTCTCAGTCCTATGAGATTGCCCTTCTTGTGCTCCACTGCATGCTTCTAGAAGGGGACTGCTGACTAAGAAACATGGTTGGCCTACAGGCAAGCCTACAGGAGACCCACTAATCAGTCAGGAATTTCTAATCTGTGAGTCCCGTGGATGGATTTCAAAGCAGCAGTTTGGAAATTAATGCAAAATGCTCGCAAGCATTTTTCTGCAGGGAAGGTCCAAAGTTTTTGTCTTCTAGAGGGGGTCCAGCACAGTAGACTATGACCTATTTGAAGGTAGCAGCTAGGTCTTGTTCATAATTGTATCCACTGCATCCAGCACCTTGCCTGACACATCTGTTGAATGAACCTTTAAGACAAAGAGCTAGTCAGGGGAGGATGTGAAATCAGCCAAGGAGAAAGCTGCATAGTACGGACATGGATGAACTGAAGAAATTCTGCGAGGCTCCAAACACAGGAGAAACCTGAGGAAGCAGTGAAGGCACCAAAGTACCCAAAAAGAACAAAGTGTCTTCTCACCTTCACAAGCTGGGAGTCCCCAAGGCGAGACCCAACGAACACAACACCGTTATCGAGGTATGTCAAGCATTCAGCAATAGAGGTCTAAAAGAGAGTCAATGGCATGAGAGACATCAGAACGAACACCCCATGGGAGACTGACATGTCCTACCACCTCCTCAACACCTGTTAAGAAAATGAACAGCTGTGGCCGTGAGTCCTGAAACAATTCTCCATTTCAAATCCCCAGGTCACCCTAAGCAAACGTTCCTAAATCTCTGAAGCTTATGACTCCATTTATCACATCCTTACAGTCAGAAAAATCTACACTTTATCTTGCAGGTGCCTGGCCCAAACGATCATTTTAATCCCAATGGCTCTAGTCTCCTCAAAATAATTAGAAACCTCTAAAATTCACTGCATAATTCTTAAACTTTTTGGGGAACCTCTTCCTGGAATTAAGTATCAGCATTAAATTAATGTTTAATTCTGAATGCCATCCTTTTTCTCTTCCTTTTTATGCTTGAGGTAGTGCCCAGCTGTCTGTGAGATTCTCCAACATTTCATTTATTCAAAAACCAACTTCCACAGCAGGACTGACCAGTTGTTGCTGGGTGCTAAGTACCACAAATCTCACACTGCTCACACTGTGAGTCACATTCCCACATTCGCTATACCCCTAGGAGAACGTAGCAGAGGAGGGTCAAGCCCCACCTCTCCGAGGAGCTCCACACGGAGATCTTTGAGGGTGACAGTGCCATCCATCTGTTCCTCCTTCTCCAAAAGCAGCATGAAGAGCCGTCCTTCCATGTCTCCCAGCAAATAGCGGGAACCATTGGGGTCCACACGATTGTGACACACAATCGTACTTTGCTGCCAAGAGGGAAGACATGATCATTAGAGATTAAATGTCTCCCATAACCAAAGAGCAAACCCTTGTGAGGCACTCCCTTTACGAAACCCAGCCATTTCACAAGCAAGGAATCCACTTAGCTAAGACTACATGTGTGATTAAAGATGGGGACATTTTTATTCTGAAGACAATTTTCTGAGGAACTCAATATACCTTAAATGGTTATTCATGTATTATTCCACAGGAACACAAAAATATATAGAAAGTAGGAAGCAGCTCTAAGTATTCACTGGACTATGGATACTATCACAGATTTTATTTCCTCACTATTACTAATTACCTCCCACTGCTAATGCTATACCATGGATTTTGTTATTTATCCTTTAACTTACTTTTGTATTAATCCTTATGACTTGAAACATTAAGGTTTGAAACTTTTAGGACTAGTTAAGTCTATACAACTGATTGCTAAGTTACCTTCGCATGACCTGAGCTCTGAAAACATTCAAAAAAATTTGCAAAATTCTTCCCTTCTTAAAGTTGCCCCAGTTGATGGAAACGGTACACCTACTTTGATTACTACTTCTTTCTCGTAGTTAGCAACCAAGCTCTCAGTAAGCAAAACCAGGCCAGTCTCTCTTTGTATTCCCAATGACCAACACAGTATCTTGCATAGTAAACAGTGTAACAGACATATGTAAATATCCCTTTGACGAAGGGGGAGAAAAAGAGGAGCAGGGTTAAGAATAAGGGCGAAAAACAGGAGGGAAAAGTAAAAGACCGCTGCTCACCTTGATGATAGGAGGAGCAATTGCCAGGTACTTGTCACCATTGTGATAGGTTATGGATTCCTGTCCAATGATGATGGCCCCTCCGAAGGGCTCTGGGACTGCGGAAGAGAGGGCAGCATTAGAATGCTCAGCACTTCGCACCTGCCAAGCACTGCAGCAGCAAGGGCACTGATCCAGCCATCTCTGAGGCAAACCTTAAGATAATCATTCTTTTTAAAAAAGACATCAAAGTCCAGGGAACATGATAGCCTTTAACTGAGACTGCTGTCTGAGAAATTTCAGGCTGGCATTATCTAACCCTGGTTGATATTTTTATTGTCACTCTTTTGGTGTTTCTGAGTTCCTAGGGGTGAGGAGTCGTCTGTGTTCTTCTGCCTGCATTCCTCCCCTTTTCTCTCCTAAACTTTGGTCCTTTTCAAAGTTTTTTTTTTTCTTCCTTGTTCCTTGGCTTAATTTCCCCCATTAACAGGGCCACCATTTAGAAAAGCCAATTCTCACTTGAGAGTTTTAAAATTTCTCTCCTAAATGAGACACACAACGTAACGTCGTGGGGAGGATACAGAAGGAGCAGAGGCCTGGAGTCAGGCACAGGCATGGGCAAGCCCCTCGGGCCAGGCTTCCTCATCTGCGAAACAGTCAGATTAGATTAAACTCTGTGGGTCCCCTGCAGTTTTTAAATGTTATGCCTAACAATAAAATGAGAATAATTTCTACATGCCACTTTGAAAATCAATCTCAGTGGTTCATAGTTAACCCCTCCACCCCAAAATAAAGGAAAGCTATACTTTTGGGAAGGAATAAAAAAAGAGATAATCCCAAAGACAGCAATGGGAAAAGCAAAGGAAAGCACATTTAGATATAGGAGACCTCAGGGCTGCTGAGTAATAAGTGTGCGTAATAGCACCTGAGCACTGGAATGAAGGAGCAGAGGTGAGGCAGGAACAAGAGTAAGGAACAGGCCCCGGACATATCCAAAACCCCAACCAACCTGCAATCACCATGGAAGCTTCAGCTTCTACGTTTTCCTGTTTCCAAGGGCCCTTATTGAACTCCTTCTCTCGGAGAGATACCTCGTAGGTTTTCACGTGCCGCCCCTGAGGGTCCTAGGTGGGGAAAGGTGGAGTGATTAGCCCTTAGGACGGGCGAAGCTTGGACTGGAAAGGAGTCCTGAAAGGGACAGGCCACTACCACCCAGCATGTGACCATCCTATCACGTTGGCCTTACTATCCTGACCCATCTGTATGTTGACAGCCACCAACTAAGCCTGAGACTGCGTAGACTGAGACTCAGACCTACTGTTTCTAACAATTCAACCAAGCAAGACAGGGTTAAGAATTAGAAAAATCAGGGGCGCCTGGGTGGCTCAGTCGTTAAGCGTCTGCCTTCGGCTCAGGTCATGATCCCAGGGTCCTGGGATCGAGCCCCGCATCGGGCTCCCTGCTCTGAGGGAAGCCTGCTTCTCCCTCTCCCACTCCCCCTGCTTGTGTTCCCTCTCTCGCTGTGTCTCTCTCTGTCAAATAAATAAATAAATAAAATCTTTAAAAAAAAAAAAAAAGAATTAGAAAAATCAATCTGACACACTATACTAATCACCATAGGAAATACAACGTACACAGGTATTATCTGTGGGTACTTATAAGATATATGCATGTTCTATGGCCTCAAGGAATTTTTGAAATAGCTTAAAAAAAAAAAAAAACATACATTGAGAAGCTAAATATACACCTAAGAGATTAAAAATTTTGTTTGAGGGGTGCCTGGCTGGCTCAGTTGGTGAAGCAAGCAATTCTTGATCTCGGGGTCATGAGTTTGAGCCCCATGTTGGGTCTGGAGATTACTTAAAAAAAATTTTTGCCTGGGGGCGCCTGGGTGGCTCAGTGGGCTAAGCTTCTGCCATCTTCCCCCTCTTCCTCTGAATCATGACTCAAACCAGGCCTAAGGCTGTCAAAGTCACCTCTGAGAGACTAAAAGAGCAGGGACGGGGAGGGTGCAATCAGCCAGCGGGAGACGGCCTCAACAACAGCCAGATGAAAGCCTAAGAAGTTATGGAAAGAATTCAACACTGTGTTTCGGGGCAGGGGCCATATCTTAATCACTGTTAATAGCTCCTGACATACTTATAATGACTACCTTTTACACAGTAACTCTCTAAATATTTACACCCATATTTGAATTTTGGGCACAAAACAGGAGATAGTCATTTTTAGTTGATGAAAGATCTTTCCATCAATGACCAGGGGTAAGACTGAACTTCACAAAAAGTTCAAGCTGGGGGTTTGATTTGGGCCCCTGAGAGCACACGCGTGCGTGTGGCACACGCACACATGCACACACACACACACACACACACACACAGGAATGAAGATGGGTCACAACTGGCAGCCCTGAGGCTAGGAACAGTCAGCCTTGAATAACCAACATCAATGTTTTAATGACCTGGTATTTACAAAACTGAAGAAGGGAAAGAAATTCTAAGTTTTTATTTCACCTATGATCAGTAAAGCACAGTGAACAAGATCAAACAAAATCCCCTGAAGTAGTTTCAACCTTATTCAATTGAACTTCATCCCAACAAGCCTCTGAACTCTAGCACTTATGGTGACACTAAGGAATATACAAAAATACATCAGTGTTCCCAATACTTAACACAGCTACCAAACGTGCCCACACACAGCACTTGGACTCGGACTATGTTTCCTTCCACCATTTATTCAATCATATGCAAGTGAAATGACCGCATGCTGTATGGCTTCTTGTTAAAACGCTGAGATTTTACCAAGATAGAGCAAGTTAGTCTGATGCTCTGCCACCCCACCCCCCACTTAACAAATCTGGCTCAGAGAACAGCTGCCCTGGATCAGCTCTGCTAAAGTTTTAGGCACAGCCTAAAATAGAAGTCAACAGCCAACAAGTCACCAGAAAGTGAGTGCTGGACAAAATGCAAACCCCTTCTTAGAAGACATAAGTAAGTAAACGTCACCAAGATGTTTTTTTCTTTGCTTATAAGGGCAATTTCTAGATCATTTCTCTACAGCTAAGTTTTAATAATCCCATAGCATGCCGTTAAGAGACTCAGACAAAGTATAAACTGGGTCACCCTATAAAATCTCCAAGGTCCACAAGAATGTAATCTCAGGATTAAAACCTGCTACCAGCGCCAGAGAGCTTCCTGCCTTATTAAGTACTACTGCACTGCAGACGCAACCGAAACCTGACCCATATTAATTATGCTGTTCAAAGCATTTCAGGACAAATACGTTACACTCTCTGCCTACCCTACTACCAAATCCAGACAGTCCAATTAGTGAAAATCAACTCCCACAACGTGAAACCACATAGCTTTTCCCTCTCTCCTCCTCTCTCTCTACCAGTACCTGGTAGACAAAGCAGATGGTAGGTGCTTGGCAACCATATAGAAACTTGACGTCGATGACATGCAGCTCCTCGAGGCGGATGTTAAAGGCCTTGAGCTCTTTATTGTCCCGATCTAGCGGAATAACCTTGAAAAGGCCATCATAGAGTCGCAGGCCAATCATCCGGCACTCAGGGTCGATGATGCCAATAATGCCCGTCTCCGAGGGGCGGCCAATACGGTCCTGGGAAGTAAAACTGGGGTTAGGGAAGCATCTCAACACTCAAAGTAACAGAGGACATCGGGCACCTCTTCCCCAAGATGATTTTAGGGGTGGTGATAAAGCTAGTGGCATCCAACTGACACGCCAGGGAGGCCAATTACAGTGCATACCTTCTTGCAAAACGCTAATTCTCAATGTTAGTGCCCTGTCCCTTGGACTCTTCCTTTCTTCATAAAAGCTTAAACCCTTAGTGTTTTCCCCCTGTTTCTCTGATCACAGAGAGAGCCCCCAGCAGTTCAATTTTCTTTATCAAGTCATGACAGCTCTATCCAAAAAACTCTCATCAGCCTGAAGCAGCCACCTCACCTGGACATTGCCATGGGCTCGTGTTATGATATCAATGCTCTCGCCACTCTGCTTATACTCCAGGATGCAGGCATTGTATTTAGCTGTCAGGATAAACAGTAGGTCCTTGCTCTCGCCCTGGAAACCAACATAATACCATCAAAAGAAGTTCTTTTTGAAACAAGAATACTATCCAGCCTCTAAGCATTTTTCTTTAAGGATGCTAAATTCCTTAAGAACTTTCTTTTCTCCCTGAAGAGAAAAATCCATAGTGAGTAGGTAACACACATCAGATGCATACACCCTAAGGGTGTGTGCAAAAGGCCAGAACTGAAGCTGGTAAACATCTAGTCTGCACTTTGATGATTGTACATCTCTTTGCCCTACCTACAATAACGTCTTGTCTATTTCCATCTCAGGCTAATCTCACTCATTCCATTCAAATTCTGAAAGATGAATGTAATGCCTCCTCTAATCCTCTCCCAACTATTTGAAGGGAGAAAAAAACATGATTAACAATGCAAGCTAAAATGGATCTACAAAGTCTTACCTACTTATTAACAGAGTCCCCCAAAGAGTGAATATTTTGTTCAAAGGGTTACAATTAAAATTTTGAATCCACTGTGTTCTTGTCAGATTCAATTAAAATATAATGAAACAATATGGATGAAAACATCTGAATTACAATAATGATAATACTATGAAAACTGTTAACACCAAATGTTTGCTATGATTTAATAGGTCCTATGTTATTAAACATTTCATCTTCTTAATAACCCAGAGATTTTATACTGTGATCCCCATTTGGACAGGCAAATAAGGCTCTGAAAAGTTAGGTGATACCCGAAGTTAAAATTAAGAAGGAATAAAGCCAGGACTGCCCTAACCTAGAGCCTACTCTGAATCAGTATGGTGACCCACATTTCAAACTGCTTTAATTTCCCCTTCTAAAGAAGTCAACTTAATCAATTTTTTCCTAGTGACTCTCTTCTACTTCTAGGAAGCTTGTTCAAGAATATAAATTGAGGGAAGCCTCAGTGGCTTAGTTGGTTAAGCATCTGCCTTTGGCTCAGGTCAGGATCCCAGGGTCCTGGGATGGAGTCCCGCATCGGGCTCCCTGCTTAGCGGGGAGCCTGCTTCTCCCTCTGCTTGTGCGTTCCCTCTCTATCTCTGACAAATAAATAAAATCTTAAATATATATATATATATAAATTGAAGCCCGCCATTCAAAAGAAAAAGATTTTCTCTCCTAAACCTCACTCCACCCACCCCAAGCAAAAGTGTAAAACAATGTAAAACCATCTAAGTTCTCGTTGCTGGGCCCAACCCAGAGCACTTACCTTGGGCCTGAAAAGCTCCATGACTGCAATCTTCCCATACATGCCCACCTCTTTGACGGGCCGAAGCCCCTCAGCAGTGACCACATAGATCTCTAATCTCGTGTTTTTGGCAATCAACAGGTTCAAGTCTTCAGCTGAAGTAAAGTGTCCTGAAAGGAACAGATCCTCTAACTTTTGAAGCCAGAGCAGTACCTAAATAATCCTATCACTTCTACTTAAATGCCTCCAGAATTCTCATTTACTTCACATATTTCTCTGGCTCCCTCCATTCACTTAACTTCTCGCCAAATCCAGCACCTCAAAGAGTCTCACTTCATACATTCAAGAAAGCTACTTCCCTAATCAGACTAAGAAAAGTGGACTGGGCCTAAGAGCAGCATGTCCTTCAACTGACAATGACTGTGAAAACCTTTCAGATGGCTCTGTGCCCTCAAATTTGACTTTTCCTACTGCAGTGGCTGACTTATCTAATTAAGGGACGCTAGAAAAAGTGTACATCTCCATTCAGTCCTTATCTAAATTTTCACAAAATCTTGACCAAACAGAGCAGAACAAATGCAAATTCTCAGAGCTTTATATGAAAACACTGCTTTGTCCACATCTCTTGCCTTCCCCGCAGTCTACCAATACCCTGGTCCACACTCCTTCAGAGCTTCCCACTCTACAAACAACAGAGTTTTGTTTTGGAATCATGATCAGTATTTACATAAACATACAAATTTGAGGTCTTCATGTTCTGCTGAGAACATGTGGATCATGATGCTTATTCCCGGGTTCTGGACATCTGTGTCCTTTGTAATCCTTGCAGTCAACAAGGCAAACCCAGCACTGGGCTGGGCCACCCGAACCCTCTTCTCCAGCAGCTCCCTCGAGTAAACAACAGCCCCGGGCAAAGAGAACTCCTCTCCTTTGGGTGAGTGCGTGCATTCCTCACATCCCTCCACCTCCTGCACCTCCCAGGCTCTCCCCCAAGAAAATTCTGACCCTCCAAGTCGCCATCACCACGGCCCCTTCCCCTAACCACACGAGGCCAATCTGGGGGCCCAAGCACCACCGCACAATCAACTCACACATCGCTCTCTGCCCCAGGGGGCCCGCCCCTGTCCCCGAGGCCAAGTGACCTCCCAGGACGAAAGGGGACCCTCGAGCGTAGCTTTTGCTCCCCAAAAGGCGCGTGCTGAAGACAGCTTCTTTTTAAAGTCGTGGGCTGGGGGGAGCTCCGTCGGCCGCCAGCACCTCCCATTCCCGGGACTCGGTCCCGCCCGGCCGCCCCAGGGGCCGCGGGCCTCCCTAGGCCTCGGTTCCCCCCAGCTCCCTCCCTCGCGGGGTCTCCTGCCCTGGCAGCCTCACCGGTTACGCAGCCGTTCACGGCGGTGGGCTTCTGTGCCGTTACCACGTAGTTGTACGACATGTCGAGGTCTGGGACAGCCCGTCGGCACCCGAGCGCAACGATAGGGAAATGGACACAGGCGAAGAGACAGGGGCCCCCACCCGCGCGCGGCGAACTCCACTGCCGCTGCCTCCGCCCCAGAGACACGTTGCAGGCCAGAGCGGCCGGGGCGCGAGGCATCACGGGACGGCCTCACCTGGCCTCTTGGAGGACTCACGGCGCCCTAGGCGGCCAACCAAAGGAGGCCCCGCCCTCCAGAGGCCCCGCCCCGTCTCTTACCGCCAGAGCCCGGAGTACCCGGATGAGGGCGTGCCGTCGGGGGTCGTTGTGAAGCGGCAGCGGCTACGGAGGTGGCTGGTGAGGGCGTGAGCGGGTGGGGGAGGTGCGCGGACACCCCCTCCGCTCTCGGAGCCGACCCGCCGCCCTCAGCCCCAGTCCGCGCCCTTCGCCCGTCCACAGACCCTGTCCTCTCCCCCTGCCATTGCTCCGGGAGCTCTCGGGGCTGTTCTCCCTTTTGGAACCGGAAGTACTGCAGAGGTCTAGAGGGGGAGGGGCCTGACAGCAATTTGTGCACCTCCCAGACTAGAACCGAGGTCCGGACCTCCCTCTCCTTAGCACCCCCAGTTCATCCAAACTCAGCCGGTACCCTCACCTGACCCTAGAATGATTGATCACCCCACCTCACCTCGAAGGACACCAGGAGGCTCGCCTCTCCCGTTATAAACTATGTTTTATTTTTCAGATTTTGAAGGACCCACTGGGCCACTTACCCAGCATTATTCGTGCCCCTGTTGCTGTGCAAATTCTGACCATCAAACACAATATCAGAATTTCCTGGATGAGACCCTTAAAGGCCCAGGAAAGCAGTCAGCCCCGCAATTTCCAGGCCACTCCACACCAGAGAGGCTTTGCTAGGAGTAAGGGGGAACCACGTGGCTTAGAGTACCTTCAGAATGCCACAGAGAAGGCGACCCCACTTTACAGATGAGGAAGCTGAGGTTCCAGGGAATTTGTTTACCTAGGATCCCCCAGTAAGTCAGAGGCAGAGCTAGGCAGGGACCCTGGTGTGGATTCTTTCTCTTGCAGACACAGCATAGGACCCTGGATGACCCCAAAAGACCTCTGAACAAGGCTGAACTGTGGGGAGCTAAAATGTCATTGTAGTTTACCTGTGTGATCTCCCACACCAAGGACTCTGCCTGACTGGGGGTACTGAATTACCGCTAGAAAGAACACAGGCTTTGTAGAAAGACTAGGTGTGGGTTTGAGTTCTGGCTCTTACCAGTGTGACCTTGGACGAGGCACTAGAGCTCTCTGAGTGTGGTTCCCAGAAGTAAAATGGGGTCAGAGATTCAGCTGCCTCCTTCCTGGTGCAGTGCCAAGACCAAGTGTGTGAAGATCTTGATAAACTAATTCACTGCACATGGTGCCCACGTAAGAGATGAAGTTACTCTGTGGGTAACTGCCCGTTGGTGATGAGTTGGGGTGCTGTTCCTGGGCACAGAGGCAGCCCAACATGGATCGATCTGTCTTCTGGCAGCCAGGTGCAGGTGTGAAGCTTGGTCAGTCCCCATGCTCTTCTCCATCCCCAGTGCACGTACTCGAGTTTGGACTTGAATCAAAGTCTGGGGCAGCTCCCTCGTTACCAGGACCCCGGAAGCGTGATTGTGCCATAGGCTGCCAGTGCCTCCAGCAGCCCATACTGTTCCCCTCTTTCTGCAGGTGCTGCTGCCACGTTCATTGTGCTTAGATCCCCGTAGCACCCACAGGGTTGCCCGTCCTCCAGTGCCTCAGTGCGAAGGTGTGAACTCAGCGTGCCTCAGAGCCTCCCCACCATGGTGAGTCCCACGAGGGCCAGGGTAGGGGAAGGACACTGTGGTCTTGGAGCAGTGGGGGTGCCAGCCCTAGGTGTGCTGGAGTTCCTTACACCTTGACGAAGAGACGCTGCTGCCTCCTGAGGTTCAGAGAGGTTAAGAGACAGCGTCATCGTCCCTCTCAGGGCAGAATCCCTGCTTCCCTCCATTTCCCAGCTGGTCCCAGCCAGGCCCGGGGCTGCAGCCCCTGAGTCCCTGCAGGGACTCGGTCATACATTTAGATTGGAACAATTATTAATTACCTACTCTGTAATAGGCACTGTACCAGTAGCCATGAGGGATCTGATGCCTGTTCCTGAGCCTAGGACAAGTGTGGGCTGGTCCCAGAGGTGGGATCTGCACTGTGGGAGGCTCAGCATGCCCCTGGGAGCATCGCTCCAGGCCCACTCTAGAACTAGATCTGAACCAAAGCAGGCCTTGGACAGACCTGGGTTCCAATTTCAGCCTGTCACCAACCAGAGACCTTCTTACAAGAGACTTGATCTCTCTGAGCTTTTTTTTGCCTTCTCATCTGCAGTGTGAGGCAGATTAAGGCCCAGCCTCCAAGCGGCTGCAACGCGTTAATCAGACCAGAATCCTGGGGGCCTCACTCAGTGCCTGATCAACTTCCTTTCCTTTTCATCCTCTTAGGCTACTGGGAACCAGGTTTGGCACTGGTCGCCGAGCCCTCCTATGGCTCTGGTTCAGAAGTGGTTGCAAATCCCAGGCAGGACTGTCAGGGATGGTAGGGGGGGGGATACATTCTTGGAGGGTGGTGGCGCTGGAGGCTGGGCTTCAAGTTGAAACCAACTCACAATTTCTTTGCATATTCCAGTCCCCGGAGGGCTCTGAGAGCCACAAGCCCATGCCCTTACTAGGGCAAGACCTCTAGAAGTCTCAGCCTCCCTTAAGCCCCTGGGGAAAGCAGCATGATAAGGCTAAAATGGAACCATCTTTGGAGCCAGGCCAACCTGGATACTTGCTGGCTGTGTGACCTTGGGCAAAGTCATTGAACTATGCCTCAGTTTCCTCTCCAGGCTAATCTTTCCTCCACGGGGTTATTGGGAATATTGAGTGAAACATGCTCAAAAAGCGCTTAGACCCTGGGCCTGGCTCTCAGTCACTACTTGGGAACAGAGCCAGTAATAACAGAGTTACCATTCCGCTTGCTTCCTGCTGACCTGGACTGCTCTCCTTAACCCAGAGCAGGTGGCTTGGCTTTGGCTCCTGCCAGGCCCAGGAAAGGCCAGAATTTGCTCAAGGGAACCAGGTGCCTGCAGGTTTGGGGTAGGAGCCTCCGGGAAATGCCCCTTGACAGGACCTGGCTCAGCTGCAGCTGCCCAGGGCCACCAGGTGGCGCTAGGAGCCTGCCCTCTGGGTCCTTACTGGGCTCCAGTCTCTCTCTCTTTGTGACAGAGGCAGAAGTTCCAGCCTGGTCTGCACACCTCGTTCAGCTAGCACCACCTTTTCAGAACCTGCTTGAAAAAGGGAGTAACTGCCTTTTATTCAGTTTTTAATCTACAATAGGTATATTTTACTCTAGTTTAGTAAGTCCCCGATTTGCTGAGTAGGACAAAGGTCAGAACAACAAGGTGTCCTCCCTGAGTTCTCACAGCTGGTGAGAGGCAGACAGGGATTTGAGCCCAAGAGCTCGTGACCATGACCGCAGAACCCAAAGCCTTTGCCACTCTAGCCCCCACGCTGTCTACTTCTGCCTATACCCCATGTCAGCTCAGCTCTACCCTCAGGCCAGCTGCCCGAGACCCTCCCACCAGAGGTTCCCCATGGCCAGGTTCCACTTGCCGCTTGTGAGGACCTGCCCACCTCTTCCTGGTGGTCACTGGTTGCTCAGGTCATTCTAACTTGCTTCCTGGCCCGGCCACCGAATGATTTCACACCTCCAGACCCTGATGTATACTCTCCCTCTGCCTGGAATATCCTCGTCCTTTTTGCCTTCCCCCATGCCCCTCACGCCCTTTACTTCCCTAACTCCTGCTTCTCCTTCCCGAAGACTCCCAGGATCCACCGAGGAGGTGGTACAAGCCCATTCCTCTCGTGTAGCACTTCGCACAGCATGTGGAGATGATCTCTCTGTTTCCATCAAGGGCAGGACCAGCATTCTGTCTGGACCAGCACTGGGCACACTGAGAGGCTCAGGAAATGTTTGTCTGGCACCAGAGGCCCAGTTGGAATAGCAAAGGAGTGTGGGGCCAGTCTCGTACCTTCTCTTGGCACAGGAGCCTCAGCCTGGGGCTTCTTCTCCTTTGACAGAAGAAGGCTGTTGGGCCCTAATTTTATTAAATTTTTCTAGACTCAGGACTCCGGTTCCCTTCTTTGGTCTATATTGAAGCTCTTCTTCCAGATAAATTTAAGCCGTAGTCCAAAACACCTCATAAATTTTGCCCTCAATCAATTAATCCCAAATTAAGAGAACTCACAGAAACCTCCGCTTGAGAAAGTCATGCCCAATTCAAGGTACTGCCATGTCCCTGGAGTTTCCCTGGAGTCCTTATGGCTCAGGGGGCTCAACCATAGCGGTGTGGCTGGGCAGGATGGGAGTGTCCCTGCCAGCCACGCCTGGAACTTCCTCCCGGCTCCTATCTTGCAGACCTCCAAAAAGCTGGTGAACACGGTGGCGGGCTGTGCCGACGAAGCCTTGGCTGGTCTGGTGGCCTGCAACCCCAACCTGCAGCTCCTGCACGGCCACCGCGTGGCTCTCCGTTCTGACCTGGACAGCCTCAAGGGCCGGGTGGCGCTGCTGTCGGGTGGGGGCTCTGGCCATGAGCCTGCCCATGCCGGTGAGTAGTCTGGGACAGAGGTGGGGGGCAGGTGCTGGGCACAGTGGATGGGGGCTCCTGGGAGATCCTCGGTGCTGCTAGGAGGTTTAGGACAGAGCCCAGGTCAGGCCCTGGTTCCCGCTGTCTCAATCCCTCAGGCTATCATCTGGGACCAGTCATGGTCTTTCTCTGGGCCTCAGTCTCTACCATCTTTAAAAACACAAGTTTGGGCCAAATGATCTCTCGGGCCCTTCCAGCTCTGAATCCTGGCTTTCCAGGCCCCCGAGCCCTTCCCCTCCTCCATGAAGCCTTCCTGACTTTTCTAACCTAGAGTAGTATCCCTCTTCTGAATTCCTACCCCACATTTCCACATACATCACAGACAGCCCTGGATTGTTTCCTGCTCAGTGCCAGGCATGTGAGCTCTCCTCAAGAACTCCTGGGGGGGCGGGGACCAGGCTTTGTATCCTCTGTTCCTTTCCTGTCTCCCTCGGCAAATCCATCCATCCACTAAGCACCCTTCATGAGCACCTGTCGTCATCTGGCACCGTTTGGGCACGAGGGATATAACGGTGAACCAGAAAGACAAGGTGCCTGCCCTCACAGAGCTTCTGTTCTCCTTTGGGGAGACCATAACCAGGTAAATGCATAAGTGAAAGAGAGTGTTCCAGAGCATGTTAAGTGAAGTAGCAAAGACGAGAGCGGGGAAAAGGAACAGGGAGTCGCTGGGGATGGGGTGATGACTGCCTCCGTTGGGAGGTCAGGGAAGGCCTCTCCAAGGAGACTGCTCCTGAGGAAAGGTCTGTGGAGGGCGACCCAGGTGCTCTTTCAGCACCAAGCCCACCGCGGGGCTCACCAAACCATGAAGCCCAGCAGCGTGGGAAGGCCCCGGGGACTGCAGACACGGGTCCCCAGCCAGTATTTGCTCCGTCTCCAGGTTTCATAGGGAAGGGGATGCTGACGGGGGTCATCGCGGGGGCCGTGTTCACCTCCCCGGCGGTGGGCAGCATCCTGGCAGCCATCAGGGCAGTGGCCCAGGCGGGCACAGGTAATCCTGGCAGGCGGGAGGGGCTGCTGTGGGGAGGGCAAGCGCTGATGGGGCCCTGCTGGCTGTTACTGCAGTGGGGACCCTCCTCATCGTGAAGAACTACACTGGGGATCGGCTCAACTTCGGCCTGGCCCGGGAGCAGGCCCGGGCTGAGGGCATCCCCGTGGAGATGGTGGTCATTGGGGACGACAGTGCTTTCACAGTCCTGAAGAAGGCGGGCAGGCGGGGACTCTGCGGCACAGTGCTCATACACAAGGTGAGATTTCCCACCCGGGACACTGGCTGGCCGGCACCCCCCACCCCTAGCCTTCTCTTTCCAGGCAGCACCGGGGACCTGGACCTTTCCAGCCAGCCCATGCCCCCCGCCCCAGGAAGCCACTCCTTCCCCAGGACTCCCTGATCCAGGAAGGCCCACCATCCCCTCAACTCCCTAAGCCCAGAATCTAAGTGTTTTCCCAGACCCTTCCCTCTACTTCCCCCACACCCAGCCAGTTGCCCTGTCCTCGTGATCCAACTCCCGAATTGCCTCTACAATGCACGTGCCTCTCAGAGCCCTGCCTTTCCTGTCCCAGCCTTGGTTCAGTGCCCATGTGCTCATGCCCACCCAGCTGCAGCTGCTCCTCACAGGGCTCCCCACCTGCTTCCTGCCTCCCCCTCCAGTATGTTCCTCACGCTGCCCCAGAGATACCTTTCAAAAATGTGTACCTGACCAGGTTGTTTGCCTGCTGAAAGCTTTCTAGGGTTCCAAGAGTCAATGTAGGCTCCTTGGTCAGGCGCCCACCACACTCTTGCCCCTGCTCCCCAACTTTCTAAGTTCATTTCCCGTCGTGTCTCTTAGGCTCCATTAACACCAGTTCACTGCATGCCTGGGCTGCGGCTTCCTTCTGGGGCATTGCTGGTGCTTCATCTAAGGCTATGAAAATCCTTTTCTTGTCCAGCCCCGCTTGGGCCTGGCTAACTCCTACGATTCTGCAAGGGCCCACCACCGATGTCCCTCCTGTGCAGAGGCTTCCCTCCTCCATGCTCACATGGCATGCTGTTGTGATGGACCACCTCACATTTAGTGTTCAGTTTGTGTGTGTCTGTTTCCCCAGCGCCACCCCAGATTCAGAGTCCTCCAAGGTAGGGACTGTCACTCAGTCACCTTTTTTCTTTTTAGCACACACTAAATGCTTGGCAAACGGTGGGTGGGTGTGTGAGTAGGGAAGGACAGCCACAGTGTATATGCCATGGAGAACCAGCTCTAGGCTAGTAATCAGGAAACTGGCCCCCAACTAGCTATGTGACATTGGACCAGTCACCTCCCTTCTTTGGGCCCGTTTCTCCATTTGTAAAGTCCCTTCTGGCTCCCACAGATTGGGGTTCTTGAAGATTCCAGGCAAGTGCCCTTTGAACACAGAAGGTGCGCTGTTCTGCCCTAAATATGGTGGGCCAGGCTGATGTGGCAGTACCGAGATGCCTTCTTCCCAACTAGAAACTCAGGCCCAGCCTGTCTCCTCCCCGCGAGCCGTACACTGACTCCTTCCTCTTATCTGTGGGTGCAGGTGGCAGGTGCCCTGGCTGAGGCAGGTATGGGGCTGGAGGAAATCACAAATCGGGTGAGCGCGGTTGCCAAGGCCATGGGTGAGTGCTGGCCCGGGGATTTGGAAGGGGAAGGCGGGAGGTTGAGGCTGACCTTGGGACTGACTAGGCACAGGTTCCTTGTGGCTGCATAGGACTTTCCAGGTGATTCCCCAGGGGCTGGGGGAAGGTCTCCCTGGGGGAGTTCCTAGGGACTGGTAGCGTGGGGTCCCCAGGCTGGGTTTCTCCTTCACCACTGAGGTGATGAATGTGGCATCCTGGCTCAGTGAAGAGGCTGCAGTGGCCAGGGCCCCCGAAGCCTGACGCCAAGAACAGAACAGTCACCCTTTCCACACCTCACTTCCCGTAGGGACCCTGGGAGTGAGCTTGTCCTCCTGCAGCGTCCCTGGCTCCAGACCCACCTTTGAGCTCTCACCGGATGAGGTAGAGCTGGGCCTGGGTAAGTTTGGGGCCACCTCCTGTCCTGGGCCTGCCTGTGCCCTGGGTTTTGCCCGCATCTTATGCCCTGGGAGCTGGTGCCAAAGTGGTCTTAGTATTTTTTCTAGGCTTTCTGTTTTTTTTAAGTTTATGTATTTAAGTAATCTGTACACCCAATATGGGGCTCAAACTCACACCCTTTGAGATTAAGAGTCACATGTTCTTCTGACTGAGCCAGCCAGGCGCCCCAGTATTAGTATTTTTAAGTGGGCACTTGAGGCCCTTCTGGCCCAGCCTGTCTGATCTCTTTACCCGCTTTGCCGTCCGTACCCAGGGCTCTGGCCACAGGGGCTCTGTGCCCCACCTACCTCCTTGCCTTTGCTCACGCCCTTCCTGGGCCCTTGGGCCCCTGCCAAAATGCAGCCCTTCCTTCAGAGGCGGTTCAGAGGCTACCCAGCTCCCTTCTTCCTCCCCCCCATGCTTCCAAAGTGATGGGCAGAGACCTCAGGTAGCCTTGGCTGTGATTGCCTCTAGTTGAAGCTACTTAACTAGTTAGAAGTTAAGTAGTTAAGGCTCTGGTTGTCTCCACCACCCAGCCATAAGCTCCCAGAGAGTGGAGACTGTGTATTTTTCTTTATTCTGTCCATCATCCCCCACACCCCTCACATCCACAGCGCCTAGCTAGTGTTGAGCGCTTCGTAAATCCTTGAGGAAAACATGATGAGTGAGTCCCCAGGCCCTGAGTGGGTCAGCAGTGACCAAATCTGTCCACAGGGATCCACGGGGAAGCTGGCGTGCGCCGGATAAAGGTAAGTGGACTCCCTGGCCCCGGGTAGTCTAGGACCAAGGCCGTCCAGCACAGCTCATGCTGGCTCTCGCTCTGACAGATGGCAAGCGCCAACGAGATTGTGACGCTCATGTTGGACCACATGACGGCCTCCTCCAGCGTGTCCCGGGTGCCTGTGCAATCCGGTGAGGGGCTGTCACGCTGTCTGCCAGCCTTCTGTCCTACGCTGGGCAGGGGCCTGGAGAGTCTCACGCTGGTGTTGTGTCTGTCCACAGGCTCCTCAGTGGTGCTGATGGTCAACAACCTTGGTGGCTTGTCATTCCTGGAACTGGGCATCATAGCCGACGCTGCTGTCCGCACTCTAGGTGAGCCCCGCACCAGAAGGGGGCCTCCCCAAGCCCTGGGGCTCCTTTCCCTGCAGCTCTCTGAAGCTGGACAGAAGAAAAGCAGCCACGATGGAGTCTTGAGATGGCCCTGAGCGGGGGCTGTGGGGGCAGACGAGCTCAAGTCAAACCATCACTGTACCAGCTGATTGCTGGGTGCCTTGAGCCTCTCTTCTTGTCTGTGAAGAAGGGGCAACAGTAGTTCCTGCCTTTTAGGGTTGTCGTGAGGATTACGTGAGATTAAACATACATGTCACACTTAGCACAGTGCCTGGCACCCAGTGAGAACTCAGAAAAGGAGACTTGTAATTACCCATCTTCCCTGTAGAGGGGGCACCTCCAGGGAATGTGGTAATTCGGGGGGGCATCCTTGAGGGATGGTGGGAGGGAATCTGGCCATCTCCCTACTAACCTCAGGGTCCTAGCTTCCAAAGTCCTTGTTTTCCTCTTCCTGTTTCTTTCTCTGATGCTCTGAGGATAAGTGCCCATCCTCCGCTCCTTACCTCATGGACTTCCATGCTCTGGTATTGCAGAGGGCCGCGGGGTGAAGATCGCCCGTGCCTTGGTGAGCACCTTCATGACAGCCCTGGAGATGCCCGGCATCTCTCTCACTCTTCTGCTGGTGGATGAGCCTCTCCTGAAACTGATCGGTGAGACCTGGAAGCTGCGGTCATCCAAGCCAGGCCTCCTTGTGGCCAGAAGGAGCCACAGGGCACTTGGAGACAACACCCCATCAGGGCTGACCATCACCTCTGTAGAGACACCCTCTGTAGAGACACTCCAGCCTTCAGCTCTCACTTGAGGAGTTGGTATTAGGATCCTCCCCAGGGACCCTCCATGCTTCCCTTGTATACAGTAGGCATTCGGTACTTGCTTGTTGATATGGTGGGAGCCAGGTGGGGAGTCCAGGTCCCACTTGATCCCTGACTGGCTGACCCATGTCTACGAGTCATCCTGCTGTCCCTAGATGCTGAAACCACCGCGTCAGCCTGGCCTAACGTGGCCAAGGTCTCTGTGACTGGGCGGAAGCGGAGCCGGGCCGCCCCTGCTGAGCCTCTGGAGGCCCCCGTTTCCACTGTTGCAGGAGGTACCAAGCCCTGCTGTTGGCAAAGGTGGCCCGGGGCTTTTCCCTGTTCTCTGAAGGGTGCAGGGTAGGCGGGGGCTCTTGTACCCACACCTTCCACACTGGTCAGGGTGGGTTGTGGGAAGGCTGGGTGGGCCTCTGCACCGCTGTCCTCCGTCTCCAGGTTTGACCTCGAAGCGGGTGGTCCTCGTGCTGGAGCGGGTGTGCACCACCCTTCTGGGCCTGGAGGAGCATCTGAATGCCCTGGACCGTGCTGCCGGTGACGGGGACTGTGGCACCACCCACAGCCGCGCTGCCAGAGGTGGGTGCAGGGTCCCTCTGGGGTCCAGAGAGGGCTGGTGTAGAACATGGGTTCTGAGATTTTGGCATTTCGTGAACCGGAACCACTTCAAAAGCATGGCGAGTGTTCGCGTGGAATGGCCAACATTTATTTTGCCAAGAGAGATCATTCACAGAACCTGGCACCCCTTTCTCCTTTTTTCCTAAGAAAAGGCTCTCCTAACACTACAAATGTAGAAGGGTTGTTATTACAAAATAAAATGTAATCTTTTTAATGTTTTATTATTTTGAGAGAGAGTGGGGGGGAAGGGGCAGAGGGAGAGAGAAACCCAGGCTCCACACCGAGTGTGGAGGCCGGCACAGAGCCCCTTCCCACAACCCTCAGATCATGCCCTGATCTGAAACCAAGTCGGACGCTCAACCGACTGCACCGCCCAGGCGCCCCAAATGTAATTTTTTTAAAAAAAAAATACGTATTTACGTAGGTGTGTATGTATGTACCCCAAAATCAAGAGTCACATGTTCTGAGCCAGCCAGGTGACTCAAAAAGTAATGTTTTACAGTGAATAATAACTTTAGGTTCAAGGGAAACTCCTACAATTGTCCTTGTTTTTCTCAGCTTAACGGAGACTGATGAAAAGCTCTTAATTATCCAGCATAGTTCTGTCAAGAATCAGGGCTACCCCGGGCCTGGCACTGATCTTGCTGCTCTGAATACAACAGTGAGCAAAGCAGATCAGACTCCCTGCCCTCACGGCTCGTGGCTTATGTTCGGGTGGGGGAGGCACACCGTCAACAGGGACTATCAGGAAGAGATAGAGGGTGACGGTGCGCGGGGCTGAGGAGGAGAAATGAAGCCGGGAAGCGAGGCATGGAAGGTCAGGTTGAGGGTGTCTGGGGCACGCCCCAGCTTCTGGGTGATGGCCAAGGTTCCTGCCAGTCCCCGTTTCCCACCTCTCCCCAGACCGCACCCGGGATGTAGAAAGGGAGCTTTGGCAATCTCCTAGGTTGGTTCCCTCGGCCTCTGCCAGGGGCCATGCCTTCCACTTGGCGGTGAGGTTGGGGTGCGAGCGGATGGGAGGGAGGGTCTCTGAGTTCTTCATTTTTCTCTGCCTGCAGCCATCCAGGGGTGGCTGAAGGAGGGCCCACCCCCTGCCAGCCCTGCCCAGCTACTCTCTAAACTGTCCCTCTTGCTTCTGGAGAAAATGGGAGGCTCATCTGGGGCGGTGAGTGCCAGCAGCCCCTGGGACCAAAGGGCTGACCCAGAGGGGTCCCGGACTGGCCGAGGCCCCGGCCAGCCCCATGTGCTCAGCGTTCTGGTCCTACCCAGCTTTACGGCCTGTTCCTGACTGCAGCGGCCCAGCCACTCAAGGCCAAGACTGACCTACCAGCCTGGTGTGCTGCCATGGATGCCGGCCTGGAGGCCATGCAGAAGTGAGCCATGCAGAGCCCCATGCCTTAGACCAAGGGGGGTACTGGGCGCAGTGGATGGTGTCACCTGCTCCCAGCCAGGCCCTGTCCCCACCCCCACAGTGAGTCCCTGCAGGGAGTCTTACTCATCCTATTTCCCTGCCAGGTACGGGAAGGCTGCTCCAGGGGACAGGACCATGGTGTGTATTCAGCCCAGCCCTTCCCTCTTTGCAGTATAGAAGCCTTGAAGGCCACCCTCAGTGGCAGGGCCTGTCCTTACTCCCCTTTCCCTCACCTTGTCCAGCTGGATTCCCTGTGGGCAGCAGGACAGGAGCTCCAAGCCTGGAAAAGCCCAGGGGCCAATCTGTTGCAAGTTTTGACCAAAGCAGTCCAGGTGAGTGAGCAAGTTGATATCTTTCCTGTACCTGTTTCCTCCTCCAAACACGGAGAGCATTACCCGTCTCAGAGGGTTGCTGTGAGGCTTGAGGTACGTGGCGCCCTAGGGCGTTGAGGACATAGCAAGCCCTCAGTAGATGGTAGCCTCTTGCCCTGCTAGAGGTAGGCGAGAGGTGATCTCTCCACCCTGGTGACAGTACTTAGGGTGCTGGTAGGGCTGGGACAGGAGGGTGTAGGGCCCATGGGAGGAAGGAGGCCTACTGGCTTGTCCTTGAACCTGCCCTCACGCTCCCACCACTCAGAGCGCAGAAGCTGCAGCCGAGGCCACCAAGAACATGGAAGCTGGAGCTGGAAGAGCCAGTTACATCAGCTCTGCGCGGCTGGACCAGCCAGACCCTGGGGCAGTGGCAGCCGCAGCCGTCCTCCGCGCCATCCTGGAGGCCTTGCAGGGCCAGGGCGTGTGAGGGCCTCCTGGGCCTCGGTGCCTCTCTCACTGCTGTGCAGAGGTGACCACTGTCGCTTCCTCCTGTCTTCCAACTGTTATCCTCCCTCACCGCTGGCCCCCAGGGCCTTGTCCTGAGTTCAGCAGGGAACCTCTACCAGCCTCCAGAATTCCTACAGGAACGGCAGGCCGAGTGGGTCGTGTACCACTTTGGCCCTGCCTTTCCCCTCTTCACGGAGGTGGAATTTGGGGGTCACCCCCTCTGCCCCCAGCCACCTCCGGGCCTCCACGATAGGCATTTTCCTTGGGTGACAATATGGCCTTGAACTGGCCATGCTGATTCAGTTTTAAGGCTCTTTGTGGAAGGCCTTCTGACGTTGAGTGAGTGTAGAAAAGCAAGCGAATAAAAAACCACATAGAAGCAAGAGCTCCTGCTTCTGCTGAGGGACCTTTTTCCAGGTGTGTGAACCAGTGGGCCCACTAATGCCCCAGGCACAAGGCCTCAGCCCCGGGTTGAAAATGATCATGACCCATCCCCTACCACCTGAGACCCAAGGGCAGGGTCTGCGCCGCTGGGCTGTTTCCCCATTCCTGTTTTCCAGTACACACACCACACCCGATAGGTGTGTTTGTCTCCGCACTAAACTTAAACAGAATTCACATATTCTTCGGGAATCAAATGGGACACTGGAAGAAATCACCACATTCTAAAGCTCAGTGGTTGAACAGAAACTGCACCCAAGCCAAACCCCAGGTCTCTCGAGAGCAACACCGTTCGAGAGCAACACTGACGGTGGGTGGGCGAGCAGGAAGGGGCTGTGGAGTCCGGTGCACGACACACGCCTGGCCCATCCTTGGTGCAGGGGCGCGGTAAAAGGCACCGGCGTGGACTCAGACCACACTAAATCCTGATTCTGCTTCCAACCAGCTACGTAAACTCAGGTCTACTACTTAGTCTCTTGGGACCTGTAAAACCAGAACTGTACCCGTCTCATGGGGACATGGATGAGCGCTGAAATAAACTGATGAAGGTAAAGCCCCCAGTACAGGCCAGGTGCTTATTCACTGAGAGTCACTATCATCACCGTCCCCAACTCCTTCTGGGTCGTCTGCTCCACCGCCAGGAGGTGTCCACAGCTGGTCACCATGGGAAGGGGGCTCTCCATCACAAGTTTGCCCAAACTTGGCTGCAGGCCCCCTCCATCCCTGGGCCTCTCTATCCAGGGTCCCCTGTCCCCCGTGGGTGTGCACCATGGGTCCCGAATCGCTAGGTATGGTTATCAGTGTGCACAGGATGCACATACCCAGAAGCTGGGAAGGAGACTGACATAAACATCTGGCCTGTGGATCCCGACTCTACCATTTCCTGGCTGAGGGACCTCAGTCACCAGTGACCAAGTCCCTTATCCTTTTTGAGTTCTGGATTATAAAACAGGAAACATTTCCTTCCTTGTGAGATAACCCAGTACTCAAAAGCTCTTCCTTATTAAGGACATCCACACAGACCACGAGTCACATACGATTCCAGGAGGACAATCATGGGATCTTTGGTGCCTTTTGGATTTCTGCTCCCAGGGCTGAGGGTCAGAACTGTCCAGAGGCTTTAATAAGTTTCTCAGAGCTCATTTAACCACAATGTCAGTACAGTAGAGAAGGCTTTGATTCTTAAACACATGATAAACGGAAATCAAGCTTCAGGTTACAGGCCTCCCACATGGAAAGGGGGGGCGCTGGTCACGTTGACTGAGGTGTCTGGCAGTCATCCCAATGGCTTCAAACGCTCCATCCCCTCAGGAAGTCCAGTCACAGTCCCGCCAGCGGGCCACGTCACGGTGTGGTGGACAGTCAGCCTCGTCTCCACCTGCCAGAGCAAGTGCAGCCAAGCCCCCGGTGTCCTGCTGCTTGTCACTAAGGACAGCAGTACGGAGCCGGGGGCCTGGCAGGGCTCGTTCAGAGAGGGCGGGAAAAGCCACAGCGCCATCACGGAAGAGAGGAGCAAGAACCCCAGCACCCCAACCCCAGCTTCTCCTCGGGAGGCAAGCAGCTGCTCACCCTCTTGTGTAACGGGAGACTGGATTTGGCCACGCAAGTCGCCCGAGGGGGAAATGAGGCAGCCTGACACTCAGCAGGGAGCACCTTGGGAAGTGGTCGTGGCCCCAGGGATCTGCTGGGCACAATGCACCACAACTCTGGCTTGTTTCACGCTGAGCTGGAGAGTGAAAATCAGCTGGGCTGGGGTTCTGCCAGCCTGCCCGGGGACAGACAGAGAAGCCCTGATCCGGGGAGCGGCAGCATAGGAAGCCTGAGGCCCCCCTGGCGCTCAGCCCTCCCGGGACAGTTGGAGGAACAGGCTGCCAGGGTCCGTCGGGTTGCCTGACTGTGACGGGGGTGCATGTCACGGGGCAAGGCCAGGACATAGGCCAGGGCTGTAGCAGCAGAGGGGAGCCGCACGGTCCCAATGCAGGCGGACGTGAAACAGAATGGCAAGGGGCAGTCAGCCCCTCCGCCGCTCTGCTGCCATTCTCCCCGCTCTCCTTCCGTCACCTCAAGATGTGCGTGCCCAGGCTCACGTGTGGCTGGGCTGGCTGGAGGTAACGGCGGATGATGCCCACCCCACGGTGGGGGCGGCCCAAAGGAAATGCAGGCCTTTAAGGGAAAGCTGCTGGACACCGCCGCCTCCCTCGCTTCTCACATGCGGACTGCACTTGAGTCCGGGCTCATCCGTGCCGTTGAGATTTTCTACCACATCCTTAGGGCTCTAGAGGGGAAGTCAGCTTGACTTCACACGCAGAGCGGGGGCAGCAGGAGCAGCTGTGGTGGGGCCAGGGGGGCCATATGTAAATGAAGACCGAGAAGTTGAGGCCAGGAAGGAGCACGGAAGCCGAAGCCACCAAGCAAAGCGGGCGGGCAGCACACTGGCGGAGGGAGCAGGCCCCGCATGGAGGCCAGAAGACGTCTGGGCAAGGAGCCCAGGGCAAGTGTTGCTGAAACCAGACAGGAGCCCCAGGCAGAGCAGAGCTGCTGAGGGGAAGCACCTCCACCTGCTCCTGGCTCACTCCCCATCACGCAACAGGGGCTGGAAAGACAGGCAGAGGCACGGTGGTTAACAGCCTCACATCAGAATAGCCCCTAACGTGCAGGGGCCCCCCGGGCCTGAGCTGTTCAGATAGACCCCCAACCTGCAGAGCGGTCCCCGCCCAAGCCACCATGGCTTTCAGGGATGCCCCAGAGCCCCTCGGCCTGATAGACACCCCATCTCACCACATCCTTCAGGCACCTGAGTGGCCAAGAACAGGCAAAACCCACTCCAAGCACTCACCCCTTCGGTAAGCGCCCATTAGGTAAGCTCCCGCCCCACGAGACTAGCCCCAAGGCTGGAAGAGTAGAAATTACAATACCCTTTCAGCATGCCCAAGCCCTTCCTTGGGGGAGAGAAGGCCACACTTTCCCCTCGTGAAACCACAGGAAGTTGGGGAGGGGCATAAAGACCAGTCCTCTCCCAAGAGACAGGCCCCTGGAGCCCCTGAGCCTGAGCAGTTGCATTTGCCACAACGGCTGGGGTACGCTACTTTGATACCAGTGCTCCCCATCAGCCAACCTAACCCCACCTTCAAGCTACTTGGTTTCCCACCACACCACTGAGTGGTCTTCCTGGCAAGGCCCAAGACTTTCCTGGGCGACCCTTCTCGAAACCTGGCCCTACCCCAACCTGGAAGGGGAGACCAGGACCCCATACCTGTCCTTCAGTCAGGATCCCTGGCTCTGGGCGTTTCCAAGATGAAACCAGGAGGATGTAGAGCACCAGGAGCCCGAAGATCACCACCAGCATCCCAAGGCTGTTGGCAAAGATAGCCTCACTGGGCAGACTGGAATATGGCTGGGTGGCATTGTTCCTGAAGATGACAAAACAGTGTGGGCCCTTGAGAGACTTTCCACCTGTTTTTGCCCAACACCATTAGCAGATGGTGAGAAAAGCTTCCAAGGACCATCTATGACCTGGAACATTAACATACTAAGTCCCTACCACCATGCAAATATCTGCAGACTGCTTTCTACCTCTGAGGGAACTGAAGCTCAGAGAGGCAGGTGAGCTTGCCCAGAGTCAGAGAACTAGTAACTAGTTAATGGCATAGCCAAGACTTAAACCCCAGTCTGACCTCATACCTTATTTGCTTTCACTACCCACCCCCCTGTCTTAAAAGAATGGGGGACGGTAGTGGTTAGGCATGCAGGCTGTAATCTTTTTTTCTTTTTTCTTATTTTTTTTTTTTAAAGATTTTATTTATTTATTTGAGACAGAGAGAATGAGAGAGAGAGAGCACATGAGAGGGGTGAGGGTCAGAGGGAGAAGCAGGCTCCCTGCTGAGCAGGGAGCCCGATGCGGGACTCGATCCCGGAACTCCAGGATCATGACCTGAGCCGAAAGCAGTCGCTTAACCAACTGAGCCACCCAGGCGCCCTGCAGGCTGTAATCTTAACCCAAACCCCAGCTCTGCCGCTTACTGGCTGTGTGCCCTTAGGTAAGTTAGTTAACCTCTCTGTGCCTCAGTTCCCTTATTTGTAAATGGCAATGGCAATGACAACAGTATCTATGTTGTAAAATGATTAAAGGATTAAATTTAAGGTGCTTAGAAGAGTTTCTGACACACAGTAGGTACGAAGTCAGTTTGATGGTAGATAAATGTTTGCTGACCAATTTACCAATCTCAACCTAAAGACTCCAGGACCTTCCAGATCAGGAACAATCCCAACCCCAAAGGCTCCCCTCCCTTGGCTAAGTCCTATGATCACAGGGTACATCTTTTGAAGACCCTATGCCTTCCCCTCCATGTCAGAGTTGGGGGCCCCATCCCACTCACAAACTGAAGAAAAGCTTCTCATTAATGCCGGAAATGACAGACGCGATGGACAGAGAGAGGATGATGACGCCAAAGAAGAGGTGGATGGGTTTAAGGAGGCTGCGCAGCCACACGGATGCCCAGGGCAGCAGGAAGACGGCAAAGCCCAGGAACCACTGTGGACACAGGGAGGAAGGACCTGACTGCCCTGTGCTGGGCCCAGAGGTGCAGCAGGCCATCCTGCTCCACCGGGACTTCCTACCCTGCAATGGTCCCTCACCCTTCTTTCCCAGCTCACACCTCCCACCAGGTGCCACCCCTAGCTTCCGCACTATGGTCGCTTTCTTAGCCAAACCAGAATGTTCCATGAAATGCTTAGCTACAAGCCCAGTCTCCTGAAAGCCCAGCCATCCTTGTATGTCTCTGCTTCCTTCCAGTCCTGGCCCATAAAACTCCTCACTTGTACGGGGCTGACCTCAGAATGCGGAAACCACTTTCAGAAATGCTTCTGGTTCAAAGAAAGGTGGGAATGGGGAAGGTGGAAAAGATGACCTAGAGTCGGCGTGGCGTGTGCTGTGATCGAGTCAGCTCAGCGTGCTCCAGGACGACAGAGGGGCAGCGTGACAGGTAAGAGAAGGAACAGATGAGTGTGGGAACCGGCAGTCTCCTACGACCATTTAAGCTGCCGACGCTATGGGGTGTGCCCTACGGGGGCCGTCTCCAGGCGGTGAGCAGAGGGAGTGTGTGGTGTGGGTGCAAGGGAAGCCCCAACCAGAGCCCACGGCCGCCAGCCGGCAGCAGGAACCCAAGCGAGAGCACGCACCTGGCAGGCAAAAAGGAAGACAGTGACAATGCCCAGCCAGCTGTGCAGGGAGTAGAGTTTGGCGACCTTGGAGTGGTGGTGGAACTGAAAGACGGCGACCATCCCCAGCACGGTCAGGATGAAGGCCAGCAGGTGCAGGGCCGCGTGGCCAATCTTCCATGGCAGCTTGGGCCCCACCCAGGACCGCGGCAGGCGGTACACCAGCGAGGCTGCAGAAGAGAACATCCCAGGGCCCGGCCTCTTCCCCTCGTACTCCCCCACACTACTGTGCTCGACGTTATCATCGTTTCCATTTTAAAAGCGGGGAAATGAGGCTCCCCTGGGCCCCGAAGCCCAGCTCTGAATGCATGGGGCAAAGATGGGTCTGGTGGGAGTAAGCAGCTTCCTCGTGGAAGGACCTGACTAGGGCATGAGAGGCTTCAATCTCCTGCTCCCTAAAGCAGAAGTTGGCAAACTACAGCTCACGGGCCAAATCCAGCCTGCCACATGTTTTTGTAAGCAAAGTTTTATTGGAACACAGCCACGAACATGTTCTGGGGTTATCTATGGCTACTCACAATACAATAACAGAGATGAGCAGTTGCAACACAGGTCATATGGCCTGTAAAGCCTTTGCCATCTGGCCTTTTACAGACAAAGTCTGTCAATCCCTGCCCTAGAGTATCTGTAAAGCTACCCTCCTCAGACGCCCCCATTCTCACTACTTCTTCCTGCAAATGACACCTGGGCCCAGAGACAGCCCGACCTACCCCACTCCCAGAGCCCCAAACCCAACAGTGACAAAGGCCAGCCCCGGGGAGGCAGAGCTCTGCCCCAGCCAGCTCTGGGTTGATGGTATGTCTGCCATGACCGCGTACTCACCAGCACTGTAGAGTACCACTAAGCCCACAACCATGAGCACTGGGTGATAGTTGAACATGAGAATGGTGCCATCCCAGGCAAAGCCACCATGCCATAGCTGCATCCAACAGATGGTGAGGATGATGCACATCAAGCCCAGGAAACACAGTGCGTAGAAGGACAAGTAGAACCATCCCACAGCCATTCTGAGCAGGCGCTCCTGGAAGAAGCAGAAGTCACACGTCCCTGCTGGCTCTGCGGGCTTGAGTGCACCCCACCTACCTGCTACAGGAGTAACACCGAGCTCGCTCTTGCTGGAAGGGTGGACACTCTTCAATTTAGTTCTCCTGCCACCAGCCTGGGCACCGCCCCATGAGACCTGGAGCGCTGGGTAGGCCTGATCTCTGATTGTGGACACTAAGGATGGCCCCACCCCAGTACCTGGCAGCACACAGTGCTGGGGCCGGCTCTGGAGAGGGGCTGGACATCAAGGCTCTCGGCCCAAAGCCCTGGGATTAGCCTCCCTTCATAGAACCAAAAGGTAAAGAATCCACCCCACCATACCCCACAAAAAAGGGACAGGAATCCAAATCCAGGCTAGATCACACAAATGCCTAGGCCCTCAGTTCTACCAGAAGGAGGCAAAATTATCATCTGCAAGGAGCCAACACACTATTAGGCCAGCTGAGAGGAAGTCCTATGATCTCCCACTTCTACAGGAAAGTTCTTCGCCAGACGGTGAACTCTGTGTGGCTAATCCTCCCATTGAGGAAGTAAGATCAGACCTTTGTTCTGGGGTCCCCACACTCCACACCTTGAATTGGACAGCAGCCCTCAGATGTCTCTAGGCCTGAGACTTCTGCTTTCTCTTCCTCTGAGGAAAGTTCAGAAGAGAAAAGAGGAAGCAAGAACTCATGGTCTAGAAAGCGAGAGTTTATTTTGAGATTTCTCCATGTCCTTGATAAACTCAGAAACCAACTTGGTTTCAGACAAATGTCTAGGGCCCTGAGCAGCTGGTCTTACAAACCAGGCAGCTGGACGCGTGAGGGCTGGCAGGCACACAAAGCCACGGGACCACCTCTGCTTTCAGGGGGCGTGTAGGCAGCACGGGCCCAACTCTCAAGGCTGTCACCCTGTCCCGCGGACTCACACCAAGGAGGGGACACTGTGGCATCCTGCAGTTGAGATCCCTCAATCTGAACCAGCTAACAGAGAGAAAAGAAGTCCCTGAAACAGCCGAGAACTCCCATGGCGATAAAACACTTGATTCCTCACCTTTAGACTTAGTGACAAGCTGACAAGAGTGGTGGCCGAGGCTCCAATTCTTATGAAGTGGGGCACCTTGAGCAAATCATTTAGCATTTGTATGACTCGGTCATCTCATCTGAAAGAAAGGCATGGTAATAAGAATATACTAAAGAGCAGCTATGAGGAGACACCCCACTAGAACCCATGAACATTATGATCCCATTTGCTCCCGTGAGCAGTTATCATCCCCATCTTATAGACGAGGAAACCAAGGCTCAGGAAGATTAAATACCAGCATTAGGACCCAGTAAGTTTCAGGAAGTTTCAAAGCCTTGTCTGTTTGGCTCCAAGGCTCCTGTTTTTTCCTTGACCACAGGTTGTCGAAAGGGCAAGTGAGAAAATGTCCGTAAGGACGTTGTGAGAGCAAAGTATTCTCCTTTTCTTGGTGTTGTCACAGCAGTTCATCCTACCTACAAACTACAGCCTGAAGCTCGTGGCCTTCATGGCAGCCCAGGCCTCTCGGTGGCCCTGATACTAGGCCGTCCCAATTCTCTCCACGGCTTGTGTCCACCTAACCAGAAACAGACACTGAACTCTCACAATGTGACCCGAGTTGGCAGTAATCACTGGGGAAGGAAGATCCGAGGGGCTGGGGGAAAAACAAGCTTCCATAAGGCCGGGGGAAAATAATGCCACCATCTTCCTAGAAGTTTCATGACTCAACTACTAAGCTCAGAGATTTGCCACCCAGCCTCAGAGGTGTCCCCATAGGCCCCGGAAGAGCAGAGAAAGTTTCAGGTCACCAGATGTTCAGTCACCCCCCCGGTGAAGTCGGCATGAAGCACTTGGTCAGCAGGCTCCATCCACCAGACAATTATCTTTCATGACTTCCTTTTCCTTTGGAGAAGAAAAAACAAAAGTAAGTATCATCCAAAAGGGCTGTGTCCACCCTTCTCAAAGAGGTCCTGGATTACTGCCCTGGGACAGACTTAGAGTTCACGATGGGGACACTTTTCTGACAACCGGCTGTGATGTTATACTGCTCACAGTACACAGATGACCCTACCTCTATGCAAAGTGCAGAAGAAAAAAGAAGAATGCAGTGAAATTGCAACCCTAACACCGAGAATATTCTATCATTTATTCCAAGAAAGTAGGTTGTGCTATGATTTCAGGATGTGTTCACCATTGTTGGGTCTTTGATTCCGCCCGCACTTTGTAGAGCCCCATGCTAAGGCAGAAGTCATCATGCCCTTCTATAAGGGCCGGAATGGAAAATATTTTAGGCTTTGCAGGCCATAGTCTCTCTCCCAACTCTGTCATCAACTCTTCTGATGTAGCGCAAAAGCAGTCATAGACAGTACCTTCACAAACGAACACAGCCATGTTCCCAAAAAACTTTATTTATGGACACTGAAACTTCAGGTTCAGATCATTTGTACAAATCAGAAAATATTATCCTTTTCATTTCTGTTAATCTTTTAAAAATGCAAAAACCATGCAGGCGGTGTGTCTTACTCTATCCACCATGATCTAAGAAATGTACTCTCCAACCTAATACTCTCCTCAGTCCCTTGACAAAAAACGATTCTCCCTGGCTGCAGTAAAAGAGATCAGGCCCCCGTGTAAGAAATGGGTAAGCTTCCATTCAGCCCTTGATCTTAGGAAAAGGCTCTATTCCAAACTCTTATAATATTACTTTTATAATTTAGAACTACTAATAGATGAAGGAACAGAAAGTCAATTGGTTGCCCGGCTTCCAGGATGAATGGTGGGGATTTTGGAAATCCTGAGAATCAGAGTTCAGGTTCAAGTCCTACACTCTTCTCTTACAGATCAAAATCATTGGAACCCAAAGAAGGAAAGCGACTTGGCCACGCTGAGTGGCAGAGCTGGTACAGGAACCCGGGTTCGCTTCCCTCAGCTCCAAGGACTCCTCACGTCCAAACGTGGCTTCTGTAAAGTCAGGGCTCAGGAGTGAGGACCCCTAAGTTCCAGTCGGGAGGTAGACAGGCAAGGCGCTGCTTAGCGCCACAGTGATTACAGACCCGCCCTTCCAGACTGCCCCGGTCGGGCTCAGGTGTCCGGAGAACCGTTCCAGGAACCCGGAGCCCGATCCCCGACTCTTCTGCGGGGACGAAGGGCTGTCGGTCCTAGCTAACCTTCGGTGACAATTAGGGCAGGGGCTCCGCCTGCTGACTGCGACTTCCGAAGCGCTTTCGTGCCTGGACCACCACACCTGTAGGAGGAAGGGCGCGGACCACAGCGTCCATTTCCTACAGGAGAAAGCTGAGGCCGAGTGAAGGGTAGCGACAGCGCGGAGAGGTAGCAGCGGAGCCAGCCAGCACTCGAACCCAGATCCCTGAACTCCCCATCCGAGCTTTCTCACCCCCGAACCACAGTGGGTCGCAGGGGTCTCCGAGACCCGCCTCTCGCCACCCGGCGCGACAGCTACCAGGACTCCAGGCGGATGGAATCACGGACTCTCTGGGAGGCAAGCGACCACGCAGCCCGCACCGCAGCCCCAGGGCCAGTGAACCGAGCCGCCTCCGTCCCTTATAGGCTCACAGCACTTCCGGGCGCGCGCGCGGCCGCCTGGGAAATGAAGTCCGAGGTTGCAGACTCCCAACTCCAGTTCCTTCGCGGGCGTTTCTTTCCCAGGGAGCGCCGCTAACGGCTCGGCCCGGTCCCTCACCCCCAACTCGTGTTCGGGCGGACGCGAAGCCTCTCGCCGGGGACCGGCCCTCCGCAAGGCCGCAGGCAGCGGCTGGGAAGGTCGGCAGCTGGACGCGGCGACGCCGGGAGGGCAGGAGAGGAGCGGGCCCAGGAAAGCGGTGGCCAAATATGGCAGCCGGGCTGGCCACAGAGCGCGGAGCGAAAGCTGAGGACCGGCGGGTAACACGGTACAGACGGAGCCCGCGTCCGCCATCTACTTCCGGGATTTAAAACCGGTTTCCGGAAGCCAGGACGGCGTCCCCATGACAACCGACGTTGGGTCTTTGAGGTGAGAGTGCTTGAGGAGTGGGTGAGGTGACCAGAGTCGGAATTTGTGTTGTTACTGTTTCGGGTGGTTTTTTTTGGTTTTGGGGTTTTTTTTTTGCCAAGGCAGCCGCATTTTGAGGTGGATTGGGAAGGACTGGGAGGAAAGCTGCCCTGGGGACAAAGGGAACGCGGCAGGGAGCGTTGGACAGACCGAAGACGGCTCCGTTACCTCGCGAATCTCTGCCTCCCTAAAGCGGAGGCGATGGGCCTCCTTCCCTTAGAGTTGGCGGCGGGCGGGTCTCTGTCACGGATCCTCACGACAGCCCGCCGCGGTGGCCCGTGAAGTCGTGGTTTAGAGCGCGGGCTTTGGTGTCATCCCCCCGCTGTGAAGCCAGGCTCTGCTCCCCTGCGACCCGGAGGCACGACCTGAACTCTGACCCTGTGTTCTTGCCTGTATAACGGGGGGCTCATTCTTTCCCACCTTGCAGAGTAGTTGCGAGGATTAAAGGAAATTGTCCTGGTCGCCAAGTGTATCATGGTGCTGGTAGTAGGTGATAGCTCTCCGCTCAGAGAAAGTGCCATCACGCAGCCACTAAGGTGGGACTTCTCCACCAGGTGAGGTGGATGCGGTTCCTTAACCTCTCAGAGCCTCTGTGTGATACGGGCATTATATTCATACAAACGGCTGCTTCTCAAGATGGGTGTAGGATTAAGTAACCTGATGAATATAAAAGAAGCTTGTAAATTGTAAAACATTTTGCAGACGTTAATTTAATCTCATCCTCTTAACACCTCAGAGCATTGGAAATTTGTTTATAGATTTGACCCAGCTGGAGGGGTCACAGGACACCTGCAGAGCACTTTCTGGGCCTTGGAATATATGAAAGTAAAGGCCCAGCCCCCCTTATCTGGTGCCGCTGTGTTGCCACCCCCTTAAACATAGAGTTTTGCAGGAGAGCATCATTTCCTCTGCGCTGCCTGCACCACTTCCCACTTCTGCGCCAACGTCTTTCCCACCAAGTACATATCAGCCTGTCTGTTATATGAGAGGCAGCTTTGGGCATTGGTTAAAAGCACAGACTCTGGACCCAGGCTGCCTGAATCCCAATCCCAGTTCTGCCACTGCTACTAGCAGTGTGACCTAGGACAAATTATTTTATCTCTCCAAGCCTCAGTTGTCCTATCTGTGTAATGGTAGAGTAATAATAGTGTGTCTTCTACTTCATGGGGTTATTGTGAGAGTTACAGAATTTTAGTGCTTAGAATAGTCCCTGGCAGGGGTGCCTGGCTGGCTCAGTCCGTGGAACATGTGACTTGATATTGGGGATCAGTGTCATGAGTTTGAGCCCCATGTTGGGTGTAGAGATTACTTAAAAAAAAAAAAAGGAATAGTCCCTGGCATACTGTAAGCGATTATATAAAGGTTTGCTGCTGCAATTAGTATTAGAATTAGTATTAACTACACGACTACACAGTCACTCTTTGTAGTGCTCCTAGATTCCTTTGAACTCAAAAGTGGAAAGAGCTCTGCGTTGGGGCGCCTGGCTGGCTCAGTTGGAGGAGCATGTGACTCTTGGTCTCAGGGTCATGAGTTCAAGCCCCACGTTGGGTATAGAGATTACTTAAAATGAATAAATTAAAACTTAAAGAAAAAAGAGCTCTGCATTTAGAAGTTTCCAGGCATGCAGGAAGTTTGAGGATGAAGGTCCCTAGGAATGACTAGTTGGGTTTTTTGGGAGGTGGTAGTGGTTTTGGTCATTGATGTATCCTAAGCAGCTAGAATGGGGCCTGGCATGTAGTAGGTCCTCAGTAAATATTTACTGTACTAATGAATTTCTAACCACCTCTCTCTCTCTCTCTCTCTTTTTTTTTTTTTCCTTTTTGCCTTGACAGGCCCTTGTCTTAGCGCAAGGAAAACAGCTCCGATTTGAGGAACTAGTGCTTCTCCCTCAGTGGTGGGAAGAAAGCCCAGAGCTGTCTTCTGGGGAACTGTGGAATGTGCCCCTGGGGGGCCCAATAAAGCAGAAGGAAGATGCTCCAGACCAGTAACTATAGCCTGGTGCTCTCCCTGCAGTTCCTGCTGCTGTCCTATGACCTCTTTGTCAATTCCTTCTCGGAGCTACTCCGGATGGCTCCTGTCATCCAGCTGGTGCTCTTCATGTGAGTTCAGTGGGTAGGACTGGACAGCTGAACCCAAACAATTTGAAAGCCCTGGCAATTGTGATTTAGCATTTTAAAGTTATTAATAGAGAAATTTTAGGGAAAATAAAATTTCATGTATCTTGGGTACTCCACAGACATGTCACAGATTCTGTATTTATATGCTTCTAATAAGGGTCTGGGATCCAGGGAGCAGTCAGAGGGTTATTTTCTCCATCTGTGAGTAGAAGTATTGTCTTACATTGCCATGAAAGAGGATTACAGAATGGTGAGCTCAAAGGGCAGTCATATCTGTTATGTATATGGGATGGAAGCTGTTGACATTTTTCTTCCACAATGATTTATAGACTCCACAAGGCAAGTTATTAACAGAAAATCAGTCTTCGACACTGTCTTCCTTCATTCAACAAGTGTTCATTGGCCTGCCAGACAGTGTTCTCAGTACAGTAGTAAAGCTGACAATTTCCTGCTCTCACAGGATTTCCACTCAAGTGGAAAAAGACAATGAATACATTTTTTTAAAGATAATTTTGAATAGTAACAAATGTACAGTGGATGGAAAGCGGATGGGGCGGAGAGGGGAGGGCTCCTTGAGGCAGTGGGGTTAAAGGAGGGTTTCAGAAGAGGAGACATTGGAACTGAGACTTGAATGGCCCTAAGACACCGGCCGTGCAAAGATCAAGGGAAAGGTGTTGCCATCTTTCTAGGTGGAAATGTCTGGCAGGCCCAGGTTATGTGACAGGCGGGGCTGGCTTTTTCTGGATATAGGGAAGAAAGCAGCTTCTCCTCCCAAGTGTCTAGAAGGTTAAGAGCACCAGAGCAGGAAAGCTTTGTCTGTCGGCTGCACCTCACTGATGGGGCCAGCAGGGAGTTCGAGACTCATGTCATTTGGGACCCAAAGCCCATGCCACTGTTGCGGGGGGGGGGGGGGGTTTCAGGGGCCTAGAGCACAGGGAAGGCCAGACTTCATGGTGTCCCTTAGGACTTAGGGCCAGCTCTTGGGTCGTCCCACAGACCTCCATTTAGTGGTGTTTTGTTTGATGTCTGCAGCATCCAGGATATCGCAATCCTCTTCAACATCATCATCATTTTCCTCATGTTCTTCAACACCTTCGTCTTCCAGGCTGGCTTGGTCAACCTCCTCTTCCACAAGTTCAAAGGGACCATCATCCTCACAGCTGTATACTTCGCCCTCAGCATCTCCCTTCATGTCTGGGTCATGGTAAGAGCGGAGCTCTGAGTTCCTGAATCCTTAAGGGGCTAGAAGTATCTTTTTTCTAGGAATCCAGCCTCAATTTTTTACATCTCACAGAAACCTTGACAGGAAATAGGTGTGTTGGTGGTGAATGAATGTGGTGCCGCCTGGGCTTGGGCAAGTTGCATAAGGCGCTTCTGCCCAACCTTTTGTGTTAAAGAACTGCCTTATCCAAGAGTCAGGGGACACTTCTGGAATATTCTGTTCACCTTTGCCCCAAAACAGTCCTGGTAAAACAGGAAGGTGACTGTGTTTCATCATTAGCTGTTTGGGCAGGTGGGTGTTGGGACAAGGTATTCTTAGACATTGGTGTCCCATGGGAAATGGCCAGGCCAAGAGTGTCTTGGTGCTGCATTTAGAAGTTTCATCTAAAGGTGCTGACACGGCCTCACAGCAGATCCCAGTTTTCATGGTTCAGATTCTCCTGCTTCACGAATTGTTCCATCTCTTTGGGTATTGCCTGTGTTTCTCATACTCATTTTGATGGGACACATTAAAACCTCAGGGTTCTCTAGTCACTTCTCTACTAAAGCCACCTTCTTAGACTGAACCTTCCATTAAGTCGCCCTTGTTATTCCACAGAGAGAAGTAGAGCTCACGGGGAAGAAGTAGCAGTGCCAGAGTCTCTATAGTGCTTCCTGAAGAGGATTGTCTCTGCTCTGGTTCTTGGGGCCAAAATAGGTCCTGGCTTTGTACTTTGTACTATAAAGCTGTTAATCTGATTAAACCCTGAGTGCACTAAGCCTTTATCTGACAGGAACTGAGCCTGAGATCTGCAAGGAAAGACAGTGACCACACTGAACTGAGATAATGTGTATCACTTCTCCTTGGAAAAGGCTATGGAATGGGGGCACCTGGGTGGCTCAGTCATTAGGCGTCTGCCTTCGGCTCAGGTCATGATCCCAGGGTCCTGGGATCGAGCCCCGCATCGGGCTCCCTGCTCCGCGGGAAGCCTGCTTCTCCCCTCTCCCACTCCCGCTGCTTGTGTTCCCTCTCACTGTGTCTCTCTCTGTCAAATAAATAAATAAAAATCTTAAAAAAAAAAAAAAGGCTATGGAATGAAAGGGAATAAATAGCTTAGTTCAAACTTTCTCCTTCAGGGTTAAAAGGATATTTCCTTTGTACAGAAAAGGGAGTTTGAGGGCGCCTGGGTGGCTCAGTCGGTTGAGCGACTGCCTTCGGCTCAGGTCATGATCCCAGGGTCCTGGGATCGGGTCCCGCTTCGGGCTCCCTGCTCTGCGGGGAGCCTGCTTCTCCCTCTCCCACTCCTCCTGCTTGTGTTCCCTCTCTTGCTGTGTCTCTCTCTGTCAAATAAATAAATAAAATCTTTAAAAAAAAAAAAAAAAAGAAAAGGGAGTTTGAAGCTCCTTTGAAAAACTCCTTGGGGTTGTGGGAAGAAAGAAGGAGGGTGAGATTAGCCTAATTTGAAACCAAGCGGCATTTCTGCAGCTAACCAAGTTGGAGATTCTAGGGCCTCATCTGGTCACTAACCTTCCCCTGTCTACTCATGTCTCCTTCAGAACTTACGCTGGAAAAACTCCAACCGCTTTGTCTGGACAGATGGACTTCAAACGCTGTTTGTATTCCAGAGACTAGGTAAGGACCAGAGCAACCTCAGGCCTCCCTTCGGTGGCACCCATGGCTCAGGCAACTAAGGGCCGTGATCCTGGCTTTCCCAGTCCATCACTGCCAGCATGGGACGAGTAGAACAGCCATGACAAGAACAGGAGGGATGATGGCCAGCTGCCCTTGCAAGGGAGTCCCTGGGAAATCATGAGGCAGGGCCCCTCCACCTTGTTAGGTTGTGTTCTTTTTTTTTTTTTTTAAGATTTTTTATTTATTTATTTGACAGAGAGAGACACAGCGAGAGAGGGAGCACAAGCAGGGGGAGTGGGAGAGGGAGAAGCAGGCTTCCTGTAGAGCAGGGAACCCGATGCAGGGCTTGATCCCAGGACCCTGGGATCACGACCTGAGCTGAAGGCAGATGCTTAACGACTGAGCCACGCAGGCGCCCCGTTAGGTTGTGTTCTTAGCCTGAAACGGATATTCAGGAGCATCCCTGACACTTCTTTCCTGCATACTGCCCACAGCAGCGGTGTTTTACTGCTACTTCTACAAACGGACAGCTGTGAGACTGGGCGATCCTCGCTTCTACCATGACTCATTATGGCTGCGCAAGGAGTTCACACAAGTCCAAAGGTGACCACTTCTTGTCACACTGATGGATGGATGCCTTTCCTTCCTGACAGAGGCTATGTTTGTGGCTCTGTGGGGTGGGCGTCGGCCCTATGCACAGGAAGCACCTTGACTTTCCTAGGACAGTCTCAGGCCACTTGTGTTCAGCAGTCAAGAAGGAAGATCTTCCCTCTTGCAAATTAAAGTGTTTCCCAATACAGGCTTCAGTACATAACCCTCCCCGGCCTCCACCTCGGTTCTCCCCCTTTTCCTTTCCTGCTCTCTGTCCTTCTTCTCACACAAGTCTGTGAGGCTTGATCCTTGGGAAGCTGTCACTTAGCCTGGTACAGGAGGGGCTCCTGGCACCTGCTTTCTTTGCACCAAACATAATTAATGGATGCAAAGAGTGACATTTCTGAGCTCCTGACTGATCACACTGTAGACATTTAGATTTTATACCCAAGGTGGGTGTTTTTTACATTTTATAAATAGGAAATAAATTGAATTCTTTTTCTGTAAGTGGTAGAGTCTGTTTGTGTAGCTAGATCTCTTCGCAGATAAGAGGCATATCAAGTCCTGGCCTTGGCATTTACTTGACCCAGTGGGCAGCTTGAGCCACAGAACAAATAAAGATATTTATTGAGTGCCGTTATGAGTACAAGCTATTTTTGTAGAAATTCAAGATGCAATCTGATGCCCCACCCCAACCCTTGGAGTTCCAGACTTCTGTGCTTTTTTTTTTAGGGTTTTATTTATTTATTTTAGCTGAGAGAGAGAGAGAACATGTGTGCATGTGTGCATGTGCGCCTGGGGACAGGTGGGCAGGGGAGGAGTAGAGGGAGGACAATCAAACTCTGCGCTGAGCAGGTAGCCCAACATGGGGCTCGATCTCATGACCCTGAGATCATGACCTGAGCCGAAGCCAAGAGTTGGACGCTTAACCAACTGAGCCACCCATATGCACCTGGACTTCCATGCTTTATTCAGCACAGAATAATTTATTCTGCCCTCAGAAGAATAAAAATGTTCCTTAGCCTGTTTTGGCAAAAGAAATTTTTAAAATTCATATGCCCATGGTATCAGCTTTCTTTTGCTAGAATAATGTGTAACAGACCACCACCAAACTTCAGTAGCAGGTACCAATAAATAGTTACATGGCTCTTAAGCCTTGGGGTTCATCTGATTGGGCTGGTTCAGGTGATTTCTGCTGGGCTTGCTCATGTGTCTGTGGTCATCTGTGGGTCAGCCAGGCAGCTGTGATGATCTTGGGATTTGGGGCTTTTGGCTAACCTAGGCTGGTCTCAGCTGGACTGACTGGGCTGTCCTGGTTCTCCTGAGTCATCGTCCAGAGGACTAGCCTGGGTCTGTTCACATGACAGTGGTAGAGGAGCAGAAGAATGAGCTCCATTGTGCAATCTTAACTTCAAGCCTTTACTTGTATTGTGTCTCTTGGACTCCCATTGGTCAAAGCAAGTCATATGACTGAGCCCAGAGCCCAGGTGGGAAAGCACTACAAAGTGTCCTGGTAAAAGGCGCAGATAGACGGAGGGCCATTAATTCAGTCTAACCATGTCAGAAAGTTGCTCTGTAAAACTCATCATTCAGAGGCATTTTAGCACAAGGGTTGGCAAACTTTTTCTATGAAGCTCCAGATAATAAATATTTTAGATTTTGAGGGCCATATGGTCTTTGTTGCAACATAAGCATACCTTGCTTTATTGCGCTTTACAGGTACCGTGTTTCTTACAGATAGACGGTTTGTGGCAAACTCATGTTAAGCGAGTCTGTCGGCACCATTTTTTTCAACAGCATTTGTTCGCTTCATGTCTGTGTGTCACATTTTGGTAATTCCCGCAACATTTCAGACTTTTTCATTGTGATTATATGTGTTATGGTGCTCTGTGATCAGCGATCTTTGATGTTGCTATTGTAATTATTGGGGGCACAATGAAGCGCACCCATGTTAGTTAGCAAGTTTAGGCTATAGATGTTCGGCATGTTGTTGTGATTCCACCGACTGGCTGTCCCCCGTCTCTCTTCCTCTCCTCTGGCCTCCCTCTTCCCTGAGACACAACAGTATTGAACTTAGGCCAGTGAATAACCCTACCATGGTCTCTGAATATTCAAGTGAAAGGAAGAGTTGCATGTCTCTCACTTAAAATCAAAAGCTGAAATGACTAAGCTTACTGAGGAACACATGTCAAAAGCCAAGATGGGCTGAAAGCTAGGCCCCTTGGGCCAAACAGTCAAGTTGTGAATGCAAAGGAAAAAAAATTAGAAGCGCTGCTCTGGCATTCACACAAACAAAGTAAAGCAGCCTTGTTGCTGATATGGAGAAAGTTTGAATAGAAGATCAAACCAGCCTCAACGTTCCTATAAGCCCAAGCCTAACCCATAGCAAGGCCCAAACTCTTCAGTTCTGTGAAGGCTGAGAGGGGTGAGCAAGCTGCCCAAGAAAAGTCCGAAACTAGTGGAGGCTGGTTCATGAGGTTTAAGAAAAGAAGCCATCTCCATAACATACAAGTGCACAGTGCAGCAGCTGCAGCAAAAAGATTATGACTGGGGACACTTGGGGGGCTCAGTTGGTTGAGCGACTGCCTTCAGCTCAGGTCATGATCCCGGGGTCCTGGGATCGAGCCCCACATCGGGCTCCTTGCTCAGTGGGGAGCCTGCTTCTCCCTCTGCCTGCCACTCCCCCTGCTTGTGCTCTTTCTCTCTGACAAATAAATAAAATCTTAAAACAAAAGTTACAACTCACTGAAAGCTCAGATGATGGTTAGCATTTTTTAGCAATTTTTTATTTTTTATTTCATTTTATTTTTTTAAGGATTTATTTTTTTAGAGGGAAAGAGAGGAGGGGGAACGGGCAGAGGGAGAGGGGGAGAGAGGATCTCAAGTCAACTCCCCACTGAGTGTGGAGCCCGACACAACACAAGACTGGATCCCACCACCCTGAGATCATGACCTGAGCCGAAACCAAGAGTCAGACACTCAGCCAACTGAGCCACCCAGGCACCCCAGCAATTATTTTTAATTAGGTATATATATAGGTATATGTGTAGGGGTTTTTTTAGCCATAAAGCTAGTGAACACTTAATGGACTATAGTATGGTGTAAACACGACTTTTATGTACTCTAGGAAACCAGAAAATTCATTTGACTCGCTTTATTGTGGTATTTCTTTACTGTGGTATTCTGGAACCAAACCTGCCATATCTCAGGCGTGCCTGTGGTCCACTTCGGCATCATAGTGTGAAAGCAGCCAGAGGGGCGCCTGGGTGGCTCAGTCGTTAAGCATCTGCCTTCGGCTCAGGTCATGATCCCAGGGCCCTGGGATGGAGCCCCACATCGGGCTCCCTGCTCCGTGGGAAGCCTGCTTCTCCCTCTCCCACTCCCCCTGCTTGTGT